CCCCAAAACCCCAAAACCCCATGAAAGGATAAATAAACTTTGGAGAGATTTTATTATAGATGAAAAATAAATAGAACTTTGGAATATAGTTAAATTTATTTGCGTATATTAATGAAAGATAATAAAACTATGCAAACCTAGAATTTAAACAGTAATTAGGGTGCTCCTCCTGGGACCTAAATTGGCCAGTTCAATTCAAGTGTTCCCTCCTCATCAGTTGTAAAATAATCTAGACTGTAAGGATATAATTGTCAAAGAAAATAATAATTTATATAGACAAAGCTCAGGGTAAAAGAAGTACTCTTTGCAGATATCAGATTAGAATCATAAGCATTGCCTAAATAATGTGAATCATCACATTCATAACAGTGGAGTGTAACAGATTTTAAAAAACCTAGATATCAATGCTTTAGAGGCTAGCAATAATTAGCTCGTAACTTAAAAATTTTTAAGCTAATTACACTTTAGCATTCTGAAGAAGATGAATAAAATCATGTCCTCCAGGAAGACGATGAGGATGACAATGGTAATGAGATGATATAGAATAAAACTGAATAATTATAGTAAAAACCTATATTCACTTGTAGCAGTAGTTCCTCCTCATGCGAATGATAATCAAGGTTAAATGCTGAAAACAATCATGATTCTGACTCATCTTATTTTGAATCAATGTCCTCCTCCTCTGATTCAGCTCTCAACTTCTCAGAATAGCAGGAAGAGGAAGTACTTAAAAGAATGAATTAAATGGATCAATCTGAAAATATGGCCTTTCTTTTTGGGTAAAGAGGATAAGACCCATTGATCATGTAGCAAAACTAAGACGCTCTTCACAGATAAGAGCACGGAGGAGTTGTAGTTTATGACTCCTATGCTAGGATTAAAGGAAACACTTTATTATAAAGTTACTATGAGAATAATTTACCTGCAAAAATAGACTTTAACATTCTATTTGATAAAAACGAGATAATGAAAGCAGAAAAACTTTTTGCAAAGGAGCCCAGAGAAAGAGACTTTTAAAACGATTTTGATAAGTTCGTATTCAAACATCTGCCGAAGTTTCAGCCAGAGAGAGATTTTGGTTTCAATTAAAGCGGTATAACAAGTAGCACCTATCAATTTACTATAAATGTTCCTTAGCAGGAAAATCTACTTATTTTTGACTCAAGATTCGAAAATGGGAATTTAAGAAGAGCAATGAAAGTCAATAATGTGGAATATAACTTGTTACTAGAGAACGATGTTAACACTAAGGGACACACCTAATGGTTTTACTTCAAAGTCATTCACAAATACCCCAAAAGTAAGATTAAATTGATTGCAGTTACTCATTTTAGAGCAGAAAATTCAGTTTAACATATTGAATTTAGCAAAGCCATAGTCATTATATTCAATGGGTATGAAGCCTTGTATATATTCTCGTAGGTAAAATGAATTATATGGTAAAGGTTGGTTTCGTGGAGGTGATCAAATTAAATACTTTCAAAATGATATACCTAGAAAAACAGGGAACAATGCAGGCTAGTATAACAATGCTAATAACAGCTTCTTATATAATAACAACGGTGCAGGAGAAGGTTCAGAGTTTCATTTCACGCTCAGCTTTATCTATGAATTTGATGAGCAAGAAGACGAGGTTTGGTTCGCTCATGCTGTTCCTTACTCTTTTACAGATCTCTAGATTAACCTTAAAGGTATAAAGGATAAAGATGAAAGCAAAAATATTTTTAGAACAAACATCCTATGCAGAACCCTAGCTGGTTCCCCTTGCCCTCTAATCACAATTACAGATAAAATAGATACATATGTGGATTATTATGATGAGATTCTACTAAGTAAGAAACTTCCTAACTTAGTAAGGAAATAACTAGCGAAGAAATATCAGAAATGCAAAAAAATATACAAGCAGTCAATGGAATCCAAAGGTAAAGTGAGAAGACTGTTAAAAGCAGCATTTGAAGAGGAATTGAATAACTTTTATCAAAGATATCACAGTGAGTTCATAAAGGTTGATCCAAAGTTTGAGAATTATCATCAAAAGCTGAAATCATACATCTAGGATCATTATCATAAAAAGGCTGTCATCATAACTTCTAGAGTGCACCCAGGAGAGCCGTAGTCATCTTATATGCTTCAAGGTACAATTGATTACCTCTTATCAGATGAGGCTAAAGAGCTGAGAAAATACTTTGTCTTTAGGATTGTTCCGATGCTTAATGTGGATGGTGTAATCTTCGGAAACTATAGATGCTCCTTGCTAGGAGTTGATCTCAACCGTAAATGGGTTTAGCCAAACATATTCTTACATCCAACCATATTTTATGCCAAGTAGTTGGTTAGGAATATGCATAATGAAAGAAGAGTGCTTATGTTTTGCGATTTTCATGGACATTCTAGGAAGCTGAATGCTTTCTACTATGCTTGTTCTTATAAGAACTTCGAGCATGAGGGCAGGATAAAGAATGCATAGCTTAGAGTTATTCCATTGCTCTGCTGTCACAAAAATAATATGCTCAATTTCAAAGACTGTAGGTTCAAGATAGAGAAATGTAAGGAGAGCACAGCTAGAGTGGTGGTATTTAGAGAGTTCAACATCATGAATAGTTTCACCTTAGAGGCATCTTTCTTTGGACATGAGGAGAGTGCTGAAAATAATCCAACTTAGTAATAGCTATTGAGTAGCAGGATTCAGAAAATACAGCATTTTGGAGTAAAGGACTTTATGTCTCTTGGAAGCACTCTATCTCAAACTTTAAATAATTATCTTCCTTAGGAATAATCAAAACTAAATATCCTATCTGGAAAAATCCTTGAGATATTTTATGATGAATTCATAAAGTTCATCCCACCCTATTTACTTTGAAGAGAAGAGGAGAGAAAAAAGCAACTCGCTAGTGAAGCAAATACTAATAATGCCAATGGGACACCTGATATTAACCTTCCTCCTTAGATACAGATTAATGGTAAGACTCCTAACAATTTGAAGCTTATTAATAATCCCAGTCCAAAAAGTCTATTGCCTTTTGGTTAAAAAATATCTTAATTAAACTCATCATAAGCCATCAGATCCTAGTCATTTAAAAAACAATGAAAGTCTATACATGCAGGAAATTCTCTAATGGGGTAGTAAATATTAACCTCCTTCAATGTTAATCAAGATAAAAAAGAGCCTGACAGCTCTCCAAGTGGAGGTGCTAATACAAACCATGCCAAAAAAGGAAAAGGTTAGGAGGCGACTAAAAAGATTCGGTAAAAAAGGAAAACTGTGATAGTGTCTAAAAAGATGCAAGCCTAGGTAGAGTCGTAGTATTTAGAATCAATGAGAAAAGAAGATAATGTTACAAATAGTGAGGCAGATACCTTTAGTCAAATTATCAAAATACATGCCTAGCAAGACGAGCTTCTTGATTTAGAATTCTTTATAAAAGGAGTAAAGGAAAAGACCAAGTTTTAGAAAAACGATGAATCGGGCTAGGAAGAAGAGGAGATCCAGGCTACTGATAGCAGCGATTCAGAAGAATCAGTGAAAAAATACTTTGTTAATAGAGGCAATCCGAAATCTTAGTTCGAAAACTAGACTAATGCTAATAATAGTAACATTCAAAAGCCACATATCAAAATAAAGAAGTCAAAGAGGGCAGTTATATAGACTGAAAAGAAGGATGATAAAACTCCAGATGTTCAATTCAGATCTATTGAAAGTCCATCAAAGATAAAGTAACTCAACCGTAGAATGACATAGATAAAAGGCGGCAATAAATAACTAGTTTCTCTTGAAGGGGACAAACCAATTACATAAAAGAACAATCAACCATTATCACAAGAGGGCACTCTAGATTAATACTAACTTAAAGGCTCTAACTTTTGCTTTAGCAAAAAAGATAATTCTCGAGGAGCTTCAATTACACAAGGTTTAGGCTTTGATAAAATCACTCACAGAAAGGAGACTTCTCCTTCTAACTTGCTCCAAGAGTTTTAAAATTTTGAAGTAAGCCCAATTAAAAGCAGAGTTAACGCATCAATGACAATTAAGAGTTTTGAGGAAGATAAGATGGAGAGAGACAATTTGTTGCATGACGATCATTCAGCCATAATGTTTAAAAGCTATGAGGAACTGAAGTACAATATAGTGGAAGAGAGGCAAAGAATAATACCTCTGTATGAAAACCCTCTATATCATTAGAATAGACTAAACAATAGCAATAATTAGATAAGAAGCAGTTCAATCAAAAAGGGAGATGATTCGGCTTCAAATCACTTAATAACTACTTAAGATAAGTAGTAACTTCTAACTCAATAGTAATAAATAAATCTAAGAAATATTAGCACCAACTAGTATGAGCCTTATGAGGAGTACAAAGCGAGTGGAGAATATCAGGCCTTCAGTTCTTATAACAGATAAATAACTAACCTGTCAATTAAGAATGAGCAAAGTTAAAACTAGAGTAATTTTGGCAAAGCAATGTACCACAATATTTATCATTAAATGATTCCATCTCCCATTAGATCTGGGGATAACTCGATTCTTAATGACTCTCACAACATTAATCAAACTACTCTCTTGTTTAATAAGCCTGAAGATCTTTATACAAATAGAAAGCAGCGCTATGGTAATAATAAAAATGGCTTGAACATTTCAAACACTCAGAATCAGTGTGTCTCCATGCAAAGAATGAGCTTTAAGGAGCTGCTAGAGTCAAGCAGACTCACACGAGCTACTGATAGATCTATAGTAGATGCAAAGCATAATAATTACATCAGAAAATCTATAAATGTGCATAACAATAACGCTAATTAGGAGGGAATTACTACTAGTCATAATTAAAGCAGTGGAGGAGGCAACCCAACTCATTTACTCTAGATACTCAAAAACACCTACAATAGGTTTTAGAATCAGAAAGGGCAAGGAGCTAATAGTAATAACTAGTCACATAGATTTAATGAGTTGAATCAATCAGAATTCGATGACTAGCCATAGCAACACAATCTAACTAATGCATTATAACAAAAGCAGTTCTAATATGATATTCAGAGATCTTACTTCAATAATAAGAATAATAACAGCGTAAGCAATAATAGCAACACAAACTATTAGAACAACACTTTTCATCACAATACATATAAAAAGCAGCCGCAGTTCATTGAAACTTAGCTGTCTCATATTAATAACCATAAGCATCATTAATTAGGATTAAGTAGTAAAGATGAGAATGCTGACAAAAAAACTATAAGCTTGCAGCAAATGAGCAAGCAGAATTTCAATTCCACACTTTAGAGTAGGATAGTTTAAAATATCTAATAACAGAAGCAATAATAGTAGCAGATTCTTTTGAACTAATGCACCAGTAATCCAGTATTGAATCCAAATAACATAACTGTAGGTGTGCCTCAAACTACTTCTCTGATTGGTTTGATACCCTCTTAGAACAGTAGTATAGAACGAATCTAAAACAGACAGAAGTATCAGCACTAACAGTAGAAGCTAGACTCAAGAGTCAACTATATCAATAGAGTCTAGAATTCAAACGATTAAGTCACCACTAGCTCCCATCAAAGATCGCCCTCGAAAGTTAGCAAAAAAGCAAAGATCCATAAAAAAGGTGCTACAAGATAAAGTATAGGATCTGGCATTCAAAATGATACAATGAATAAAGATAAATAACTGCAGTTGTTTATTGTAGATTAAAGAACAGACAAACAGGCAGCGAATATTGACAAGAAGAACTACTTTATTTAGAGATAGTAGTAGTTGCCACCATAAGCCTAGAATATGTCTAGGAAAACTACCAGTAAGATAATAAGCAACAACATCTAGGGAGTTGTGTTGTAGGGATTCTCTAAACAACCTCCTACAGGTAAGACTAGTGATAATAACAGAGACAATTAGATATTCAAACAATAACAACAGCATATATGAATTATTTAAACTAAATTGATCTAAACCATGACATTAAAATATATATAGAAACACTTATTTACAAATTTATCAGAGATTTTATCAAGTTTAATTTCTTAAAAACCAATTAAAAATACTCTAGGGGTTTTGGGGTTTTGGGGTTTTGGGG